GATCCTCCTCTTTCGCTCTCCTGTCAAGTTAGTGGTATTCACATAAGTCCATCCTTGCAAGCACACTGTCTTGGCGTCATACTTGACTCTGGCCTCACCTCACATCCAGTTTGTTGCCAAATCCTGTATATTCCAACTTAAAAACATAGCCCGCATCTGCCCCTTTCTAACAAAAGATGCTACCAAGGAGCTTGTCCATGCTCTAGTAATTTCCCACATGGATTATTGTAACCCTCTCCTGATTGGTCTTCCCAAAAGCCATATCTCCCCGCTACAGTCTGTAATGAATGCCGCCAACAGACTGATTTTCCTCTCTAGTCAGTTGGCTCACACCTCGCCCCTCTGTCAGTCCTTACATTGGCTTCCTGTATCCTATAGGAGTCAATTCAAAGTGCTAACCCATACATATAAAGCACTGAACAATTCTAGCCCCTCTTATATCTCTTATATCTCTTCACATATCCCTCTTGTTCCCTCCGCTCTGCCCGTGACCTTCTCCTGTCCGCTGCTCGCACCCGTATGGCCAACTCGCGCTTGCAGGACTTCTCGCAGGCGGCTCCCTTTCTATGGAATAGCCTGCCTACCCCCATCATACTCTCCCCTCGTCTTCAATACTTTAAGAAGTGCCTTAAAACCCATCTCTTTAGTAAAGCTTATGGCCTCCCAGAGTAACCTCTATCTTACACACCTGTCTCTTGCTCTCTCCTATAGGGCAGCACTTTACTCTCTCCTCCAGCTCTGCTTCACACCCACCTTATTTGATTGATATTTCCTGTCCTAATGTGTTTTATACCGCACCTCCTATAGACTGTAACCTTGTTTGAGTAGGGTCCTCTTCAACCTATTGTTCCTTTAAGTTGTTTTTTTGTAATTATCCTATTTATAGTTACATCCTCCTCTCATAATATTGTAAAGCGCTACGGAATTTGTTGGCGCTATATAAATGGCAATAATATATATATATATATATATATATATATATATATATATATATATATATATATATACACACACACACACACACACACACACACATATATAGATATATAGATATATAGATAGATAGATATAGATATACACATAAATACATACATACAGGGAATAGAAAATTGCCAGCACTCCTGGATTTAAAAACACATTTTTTATTCTCACAGATAGTTGACGTTTCAGTTCCTTGCTTGGAACTTTCATCAGGACACAAAAAAATACTCATAGGAATGAATGGCTTTTATACTAAACAGGCAGATAGGTTAATTATTTACCACCCCGGGGTGGTTTTCAAGTGGATTGGGCTGGCTCCTCCGGAGTTCGGGCACACATCACATCACTTGGGTGATTCCCAGACGTCAGAGCTATGGACCGCTTCCATAGAGA